ATGTCCAGCTTTCTCCTTCTTTACCTGTCTCCTATGCCTCTCCTTAAGGTCATCCCTCTTGTATTGGGTTAAAATACCCTCAGATTCTAATTGTAGCAACATCTCAGTTCCAGACAACAATTTGGGTTTGAGTCGGACTTCCCGAGTACCATCAAATGATACTTTATCCTTCCGAAATTTATGGCCACTAGGTAAAAATCTGCGATGACCCAAGTATGATTGTTTCCTACTATGCTTCAACCAACACGATGTAGTTTCCTTATTGCAACAAGGACATGCATATTCACCTTTAGTGTTCCATCTTGACAAGTTTGCATATGTAGGAAAATCACTAATTGTCCACAGTAAAGTTGCATGCATTTGAAACATTTGATTTGTTGATGCATCAAATATGGAGACACCGTCATTCCATAGTTTTTTTAACTCCTCAATCAACGGTTGCATATACACATCAATCTTGTCACCAGGTCCTTTTGGGCTGTCAATAAACACAGATAAAATTACAAATGGTTGTTTCATGCACATCCATGGCGGCAAGTTATATGAAATAAGCACAACAGGCCAAGTGCTATGAACTATGTTCATCGTCTTGAATGGGTTAAAACCATGAGATGCTAAGCCAAGCCTTACACTTCGGCAATCATTGCTAAAGTCAATATTCCAATGGTCAAAATCTTTCCATGCAAGGGAGTTTGCAGGATGCCTAAAGATGCCGTCATCAGTTCGTTCCTCTGCATGCCATCTCATTAACTTGGCTGTCTTGGATAACATAAACAACCTCTGCAACCTTGGCTTTAAAGAAAAACACCTCATTTGTTTTGAAGCTATTCGTTTGCCACCTTTGTTAGAACCATTTGAACCACCATCACCATTTGATTTCCATCTAGAACTGTTGCATATGACACATTTGTCAAGATTGGCATTCTCGTTTCGTCCCAACATGTAACTGTTGGGACATGCATCCCACGTCTCATACGTGAAGCCCAAATCTATTGTGACATTTTGAGCTTTATAATATGAGTCCGGGAGTTTCACACCTAATGGGAATGCCTCATTCAATAACTCAAGCAACATGTCAACAGAGTTGTCTGTCCACTGATTAAGCACCTTTAGATGTAGAAGTCAAACAATGAATGACAAAGATATGAACTTCTGACATTCCGGATACAATTCACTTTGCGTATCTTGAAGAAGTTTGAAATACTTTGCAGTCTCTATATTTGGACTGAGCTGGGGTTCAGATGCATGGGGATTAGGCGCTTGTGGTTCATTACCCTCGACACTTGTATCGGCATGTGGATTTCCCATAGCCCCTTGTATCATTTTAACCATATCATCCCCAATGTCTAAATTAGCCAATGTTTCATTCTCTCAATTACCATGTACAGATACGTAAGATTCCCCATGATTAATCAAATGTTTGTACTTTTTAAAAAAACTATTCAAAATCAGATGCTCCCGCACACCCTCTCGTACAAGATGATATTGATTCTCACATTTCCTACACTGACAACTAATCATCGAACCTTCAGCCCTATTGGTGTAGGCAAACACAAGGAATTGATCAATCCCATTAATGTATTCCCTCGACATCCTATTTGGCAAGTCAACCCAACTCTTATCCATCCTCTATTCTTCCCTTAAATATCTCTTCTTCACACATCCACAATAATTAAACATCAAAATAACTATAAAACATGATTAATTTGAAAAAAAAAACAAAAACAAATACTCTTAAAACATCAGTCTTGAATTGGGTTCACGGTTTGAGGGTTAGAGCTAGATTTCACTTTAGATAAACTAGTTTCTTAAGAAACTTAGAATTCGAGATGTTGACGCCCCAAAATCACCAAACGGCATCGGATTAGCACAAAACTTGGCACGCATGACCGCCTTGGCATGAGAGACTTGTGAGAGAAGATGTGACTCGAATCGGGTTCCCGGTTTGGGAGTTAGAGCCAGATTTCGATCTAGGCAAACTAGCTTCTTAACAAACTTAGGATTTGAGGTCTTGACGCCCCAAAGTCACCAAACGGCGTCAGATTAGCACGAAACTTGGCACACACGACCGCCTTAGCACGAGAGACTTGTGAGAGAAAATAAGACTCGAATCGGGTTCCCGGTTTGGGAGTTAGAGCCGGATTTTAGTCTAGACAAATTAGTTCCTTAAGAAACTTAGAAGTCGAGGTGTTGACACCCCAAAGTCACCAAACGACATCAGATTAGCAAGAAACTTGGCACACACGACCACCTAGACACGGGAGACTTGTGGGACAAGACGAGACTCGAATCTAGTTCCCGATTTGGGAGTTAGAGCCGGATTTCAGTCTAGACAAACTAGTTTCTTAAGAAATTTAGAATTCGAGATGTTGATGCCCCAAAGTCACCAAACAGCATTGGATTAGCACGAAACTTGGCACACACGACCACCTTGGCACGAGAGACTTGTGGGACAAGACGGAACTCAAATCGGGTTCCCGATTTGGGAGTTAGAGTCGGATTTCGGTCTAGGCAAACTAGTTTTTTAAGAAACTTAGAATTTGAGGTGTTGACGTCCCAAAGTCACCAAACGGCGTTGGATTAGCACGAAACTTAGCACACATGACCGCTTAGGCACGAGAGACTTGTGGGACAAGACGAGACTCGAATCGGGTTCCCGGCTTGAAAAAAATCCAATCGAAATCATGTAAATATTATTTTTGTGATGATGAGGAATGACATTATGTAAATAAGAATATACGAAAGACTAAAATCCAGTAATTGAGAAGGCTAGAAAACAAAATTTGAAATTTGTTCAAAATTTTAAAACAAAGAATTCGGTGATGAATCTATATTTAATATTAAATCAGACTTCTTTCAACTTTATTTGTGTGGCTTAATTTTATTTGGCAATATGCTTTGGCTTTAGATTCTGAACGATTTGAAGAAAAATTTAAAATCCAATCTCCATAAATAATGTGTTCAAAAAAGTCTCTATAAACGACTATTAGCATTGTATGGAGAAACAGACATATCTTCCCTATTTAAAATTTCTATAACCATCACTATTGTAAACAATACTAGAAGGCCATGAATGGGATCACAACACGTGTTGAGACTTGAGAGAGAAACATGAAAATGAGAGATAACAAGAAAGAGAGAGTGGTAAAGTGGGAATAATAATAATAACCCTTAACTGGTAAGTATAGATGATGGACA